GTGAACATGCCCGTTCCTCAGAGTGCTCTGGGGCTGCCTGGGCTGCCAGCTCTGCGGAGCACAGAGTGAGCAGCTGAGTGGCAGAGCAGGCTGTGGGCAGGCAGCCCGTGCTGGTCCCACACAGCTCAGCGCCCATCCTTGCCAGAGCTGCCTTCCTGCTCCTCACTGCCTCTGGGCTCTGCCTGCGCTGCTCCTGTGCTCCAGGGGCATCTTCAGTGGCCCGACAGGGAGCTTTGAGAAGCCTTTGGTACTTGCATGGTGTTTGGTGCACAGCCTAACACTGGGCTCAGGCAGCCTGCGCTGGCCCCACTGGGAAACATGGAATGCTGCTTTGTGCCTCTGGCTCACTGGGATCTCCCACCTGCTTTGTACAACAACCTGGGAGAACTGTGGCTTAAACTTGGGGAGACACATTCTGTGTTTTCTTTTTTTATGCGTGAGATTTTTAAAATACTGAATTCCTTTCAATAGTATTTGAATCTCTAGTTGTCTCATGGTCCCATTTTGCTGTTTGTGACCATGCAGCCCTGACCTGCAGCTGCTGTGTTCCTGTGATCCCACCATGGCTAGGCTGGCTCTGTTCTGCTGTGGGCTTCCATGGATAGCCAAATCCTGTGGTTCTTCTTTTTTGTGGTTTTTTTTTTCTACCATGTAGAATCTTCACTTGTGAAGTTATTTTTCCTGAAGAGACCCCCTAATCTTTTTCCTAGGGATTCTTAGAATCAGTTGTGAACAATTTGAAGAAGAAAATGAAAACTGCAAACCATAGTACAAATAAGGAAAGATGAGCAGAAGTGATTCAGAGATTAATTAAACTCTGTGAGATACTAGAAGAGTATTTAGATTGTATCATTTTATATGGTTGAAAAAGTGAGCTAGAAAACATCAGAGTGGGATCTCAGAGGATTTTCCTTTTATGCCTTCACTTATGATAAACAGTACTGGCTTTATCACACAGTTATTGGGAACTTTTGCTTAGAACTTGGATTCTACAAGCTTAGTATGTCTGTGTGGCACAGAGTGATCTGAGTTCTGGGCAATCATTTCTGACACCGTTCCTCCCAGGATTTTGCGTCCTTTTGGTTCCTCGTGCACGTTTTCCTCTGTTCCCAAAGCTGAGGCTGCCCCTGCTCGACCTTTGCCAGCACAGCCGCTGCCCTGTGCTCCTGGTACCCAGCTGAGCAGCTGGATGCCACCCCTTGTGTCTGTTTGTAAAAAGTCATTGCTGCTTCAAGAGGAAACCTCACATGGTGCTGTGGTATTCTGCATTGTTTTGTCTTTAAAAGAGTTGTGTCTGTAGTATTAGGTGAATGGTAAATACATTATTGCTATTCAGATGTTACAGTGAAAGAACCAATTTATTACTTTAATTAGTTTGTAGTGCACTTTACATTATTGTAATGTGCAATATTGAAAAAATGAACTGAAAAAAGGTGTGCATGCATTCTGTTCAGCACAGCAATTTAATAATTCACTTGGCAAAACCTCCTCTAATAATGCATGAACTGTGAAATGTACTTGAAATGCCATTTGTAATTAAAAACTTTCAGAACCTAATGTTGGCAGTGCTTGTACTGCTAAAATGAAAACAGTTTTGTGGAACAGGCAATGGGAGAGCCAGGTTTCAGTGTATTTTCAATATTAGTTTAACTACCAGGATTTTTTAAATATTTAAATAAAATATTTGCTGCTGACACAGTAAAATATACCCTTGTGATTTTGAACTGATAGGAATGGAAGAATGCAATCAAGAACGCACTAATTTTTTTTGCAATACATGCAAAATATATATAATATGTGACATGTATTCCTTTTCTGGTTTTTACCAATGTTCCTTGTTTTGTTTTGTTGGTTTTTTGTTGGTTTGTTTGATTTTTTTTTTGGGGGGGGGGGCTTTGTTGGAATTATGTTCTTTTTTGTCACAATTATGAATTTTTAAAAAAATTTTTAAAGGAAATTATTCTTATTTTGCCCTAATGAAAAGGCACAGAGGGAGCAGGGATAAATCTAAACTAATTTCATGTGCTGAATGTGGAAAATGATAACTGGGTATTGTGAACAAGTATGGTACAGTGAAACACTCCTCTGGTATCCTTGTTACCCATTTTTCTGATTGGCCTTAGGCTCATACATTTGAAATCCTAACTAAAAAATGAAAAAGTAGATTCAGAATTGAAATGTGAAAAATGGAAAGTATGTTCTACCCCCTGAGTAAATATATGTGTTGTTAGTGATTTAGGGCAGAGTAGGAGCATTGTAGGGTTGGAGATACACCCTGAGTTACTGGCCCATCTCTTCTGTCTGGGGAACGCTGCTGTGTGATTAATGCTTTGTCAGCCTAGTGAAGTTCTGAATTTGGTGCTTGGTTGTGCTCATTTGTTTGTACATAAGCTGTCAGAAGCCCAGATTGTGCCCCAGTATTGACTTCTGACTTGGATCGAAGGCTGTAAGGAAAGATGTGCGTGGAAACAGCCCCAGAAGGCGGTGGTGGCACACCACAAGGGCCGGGTGTCACACGCACCACGCAGAGCGCTGTCAGTGAATGGGTTATTGGGGAGGCTTGAGATGCTCTCAGGACAGACTGGTGTCTGTGTCTGCTCACTGCTGCAGCGTGGCTTGCTTCCTTCAGCCATTTGCCATCGCCCCACACTCCCTGCAGGCTTTGCTCTGCTCTCCATGGGCATTTCCAGGCACTGGTTCCCCTGCAGCATCAGGGAAATGCAGCTTTTGGTGAGACCAGTTTATGGCCTCGCCATGTAATGGCTGCAATCAAACCAATCAACCAAACAATTGATAAATGAGTGTCCAGGGAAGACCTCTAGAGGATTGGGAGAGTTCTCAGACATGGGGGGAACTGAGGCTGCATCATGAACTGCACCCGGTGGCATTGACCTCAGCACTGGAGAGCATTTGAAAGGACTGGGAAGCAGGATGTAGGGAAATCCAGGCTTACAAAAAGCAATTTTTTTGTTACATAATCTGACTGTTACCTCATATCAGTTGAGAAAATCTGTGCTGTTATTACAGAAGTTTAAAGCTCCTTCAAATGCTCCTGCAGCTTATCCCAGCTCCAATCTGAGTATGCTTTTTGCAGATTTCACTCACTGTTTACTTGTTGTCAGATTTTAAATCTTTTCTCCATATATGGTTTTGCTTCAGTCTGTTTCAAAAGCAAGGTAGAAAGGATTGCATGTTCTTCTGACTCATTTTCAAAGCATTTCTTTTTGAGTTCATTAATGTGGCAAGTGAAGGGTAACTGAGACAATTTAGCATTTTATTTTAGATTTTTAAACCGCTAAACTGCACGAGCAGGCTGCTGGCAAAATTGCTGCACGAAGATTTCAATTTCCACAGCCCCGGTGTCACAAGTTTCAGGTGTGTGGGAAGCTTGATCCGGGTGTTGCAGCAGAGGCTGAGGGACCTCTCCCGACCGCGGCCACCCCTGCCCAGCAGGGCCAGGTGCACTGGTGACTGTGTGAATCCAGTTTGAACAGCTCCACAACCCCCCTGGCCAGCGTGGTCTAGCGTTCACCCAGCCCTCAGCAGGCAAGTGATGAATGCATTGGAATTCCAGGTGTTTCAGTCTGTGCCTGTTGTTTTACCCCCCTGTCACTGGGCACCTCTGGAAGAGCCTGGCTCCGTCCTCTTTGCACCCTCTGCATTTTCAGGTTATTTTCATGTTATCGCTTTGCCTGAACTCCATGAGAAGCCACAGCATTGTTCAGTGTATTGCAAAGAAAAAAGTGTAATTGTTATTTTAACAAGAAGCATGGCAAGCATGGCATTGTTCAGAGATGCAGCTCTCTGAGAACCCTGGACCACAGGGAGTGCTGGATTTCTAAACAGAAAATCTTTTATAAGCACAAACCAGAAGAATTAATAATCTGCACGCACAGCCAGTGAAATGCAGTAAAGGTGCAAAAATTATAAGCATTTTCATATCTTTGTATTAAAGTGCTGTAGTGTAGAAAACCAGCTGAAAAGTGGCTGCAATGCTTGCTCCTTAGAGGAAGGCAGAGTTCTGTTAGTGCTTGACAAATCCATTACAAAAGGAGGTGGCAAGCCAACAAAAAGGAGATATCATTGATCCTGTAGTGTGAAACAGATGAGCACACAACTGCTGTGAGAGCCCCGAGGTGGATGGGGCCACGCTGGCTGGGACACTGCAGAGGAGTCCCTGTCCCTGGCCCGGGATGGGGACAAGCTGTCTCCTTCAACCAGCACAGTCAGGATTGTGTCAGGAATGGGTTTTTGGCACGCTGGGCTGGGGGGTCCGTGCCACCCCAGCAGGTTTGTTAGGAAGTGTGGCAGGCCCTGCACAAGGATGCAGGAGCTGGCCCTGTCCTGCTGTGCTGGGCAGCACTGCCCCTCTTCCCACAGAAGGGGATGTGCAGGACCCCATGGCTCTGAGCATGGCCCTGCCCTGCTGTGCTGGGCAGCTCTGCCCCTCTCTTCCCACTGAAAGGGGATGTGCAGGACCCAGGGGCTCTGAGCATGGCCCTGTCCTGCTGTGCTGGGCAGCTCTGCCTCTCCTCCCACAGAAAGGGGCTGTGCAGGACCCAGGGCTCTGAGCAGGGCTCCCAGGCTGGGTGGGCTGCACCACCTGTGCTGACAGAGGTGATGTCCCTGTCCCTGCAGTGAGCCCTGGGTGAGCAGGGAGCTGTTACAGGAGTGCCTGTGCTGAAGCTGTAAATGCACTCTGCTCTCTGACTCTTGGTCTCCATCCCTTCACAGGTTCTAAGTGATGAAGGGAGATGTGAGTTCCTTAGATGGTTTTAGCAATTTTGCCAAAAACCTTTTCATACATGACTTTATTGCATATTATGCTATCAGTTGGGAGCTGCACATGCAGAAAGGTGGTGCTTGCTAAATGGTTGTGTTGCTGATAAGATGATAAAACTTTGTAAGAGGATTACATGAGTTTCCTTTGCAGTCTCAGCTTGGCAGGATCGGTGTTACACAGTCTGCTGCAGGACTGTCTCTTCAACTGTTTCTTCCAGGTTCTACAGTGGAAAGCACAGCAGGAAGAAGCTGCTAAACTAGAAGCTGCTGTAGCTGCCAGAAGAAAAGAAAAGGAAGATGAGAGAGAAAGGCTGCAGAGAGAACAGGAAACCATCCGTAGAGCTCAGGATAAAGAGAAAGTATGAGAAACTTTTATACATTTTTGTATATATTAATGTGTACCATTGCTTCTAAAATCTATAGCTGATCTGATAGCACATGTGTTCCTGTAAAGTATTATGTATTGATGTAGAGATGGGCAAATGATTAGTCAGGTCTTTCTCCTGTCCGTTTCAGCTCCAAAGCTGCCTGGTCTGGCACACCAGTTGTGTTGCTCTATGGCATTTCTCACAGGTCACAGCGTCACAGGAGCAGCAGAGAGGCACGGCAGTCTGCCTGCACAGGTGTGTGCTTTGAGCAGCCCGGGAGGCTGCCGGTGCTGCAGCTGTGCTGCAATGCAGCAGGGGAGCCCGGCAGCACCGCGCCTGCAGCGCAGCACAGCTGCAGGGCACGCCTGGGGGACAGCGCTCCCAGGGCGTGTGTGCCGGCTCCTTGGGAAATGCCTTGGATGCAGCCTGACAGAAACTCTGAAATGCACTCTGGTGAATGTAATGCTTTAGAAAATCAAGCTGTGTCACAAGCATTTGGGTTGGCCTTTTTACCTAAGGGATATGGCAGAAATCCATGTGGTTGTTTCACTGAGTCCAGAGGCACAGAGAGGGACATTTAGTGAGGGCTGCTGCTTAGGTCACCTGTAGCTTTGCTGCTGCTCCTCTTTCTGCTCCAGCTCGTTCTGTGTATTTGCCTTTGTGCACATGGTGATTGCAGTGGCAGGTGGCTCTGAAAGCACAGGCAAGGAAGAGCTTTAGGGAGCCAGTGCTGACCCAACCACCACCAATATTCATTTTATCTGTAAATATTCTGGTCGTGCAAACCTTTCTCTTCCTATGTGTAATGTCTAGATAGAGCAGCCCTCTGCCTATGCACAGATGGAATAGCAGCTGTTTGGGGTCAGCAGTCATATGTTTCATTGGAGTATTTTACATCCTAGATCCTTAAAAAGGCTGATAACCTTATACTGCAGCTGCTTTTCTGGGGAATGCAAGCAGAATGGAAATGGTGGTCTTCAAATTGTGGTGGCAAAATATATTCAAATTAGTGTTCAGAGTCTGATTTTACTACTTTTGTTGTGGAAGCTCCACACCCTATTGCTCTCCTAGTAAATATTCTGTTAGCTTGTAGTGCTCTAAAATAGAAATTTTATTCTAAAAGGATCAAAATTGGAATCTCTAACTTAATGCTTCTCTTACTTGCTTTGTTCTCACTGTCTGGGCTTTGGAATGAGTGTTATTTTGTTTGCTGTATTTTGTCAAACTCTAGCTGAAAAAATACTGGGCTGAGAAAGAGCTCAAGTGGCAAGAACAGGAGGAGAGAGATCTACGACAACTGGAGGAACTGAGAAAATTAATGGCTGAACAAGCAGCCAAAGACAGAGAAAGGTAAAAGAAATTAAATGTAAATACCTTTAGTATCAATAGGATCTTTTTATAATCTAATTTGCTTTGATCTCCTGACTTTCATATTTAGAATAAATTGAGGATAATATATTTTTTTCCTTCCTGTTTGGCAAATGCTTCAAACCATCTAGTAAGGTTGCATCCTAGGTGACTGTATCCTAGATGCAATTTATTTCAGTTTGAATTAATTAATTAACATCCATCAAAATTTCAGACCATTGTAAGGACTAAACTGTCATGAAATGTAGCTGAGTAATAAGACCTTCTATATTTCACTTTGCATAACGATTTATAATCAGGTTTGGTTTGTTTGAGGGGCAAATGCAAGGAACATATTAACAAACTCAAAGGTATTTATTGTTATCTTAGGGAGTCCTAAATTGCTCATCTGGTTGTAGATGCTCTTCACCAGTTTGATGGGATTTAGGACTTGAGCCTGCTTAGGCTTGAATTGCCAGGTCTTTGTTGCACAATATGACCTTTCACAGCCTGTTGAAGAAATACTGGATTTCACAAAGGGATCCCTCTGTCAGAGGAACATAAAAACCCCTTCATGTAGTCTGGTTATAACTGCTCTTATAAAAGCATAGGCTGACTCTTTTTACATAGAGGAAGCCACCAAGTTTTGTGGACCAGAAGTGCGATTAAAATAGGATTAAAGTGCCATTGGCATTAGAATATTAAATTTGGTCGTAAAGATTCTGTGGGAAACACTACTTGAGTATTACTTTGTTAGGACACCTTTCTACAATTTAATTTAAATGTCTGTGTCCTTATGCTATGAATATATCTCTACCTTTCCTTAAACATGCCTGCACTGGTTTTAGCTCACAGGAGAAGGAACACATGCATTTGAATTACTGGGAGGAAATAATCACCCCTTCAGGCCATTGTGAATGAGAAGTCAGTAAATGTTGTGCATTCCGTCACTCAGAAGTGACCTGCTGCACAAAATGAAACATTTCACTGTGCCGGCTCAGGTGCACGTGTGGCATTGTCCTGTCCTGCACTGCAAAACTGACGGTGTGCTGGCATGTGCCACCTGCCAGAGCACAGAAACTGGGTCTGAGCCTTTGCACAACACTCATCAAACACGGCACAGGCTGCTAGCACACTTCTGATCCAACACATTTTCAGGGTCCTTTGGAAAAGGAAAAAATGGGCTGACTGACTACTCCAAGTACAGGAGATGGCCTGGATAGCACATAGAGTTTCTAATACAGTTAAATATTTTTAAAAACTCTGCTATTATCCTGAATTGCTTTTAATCAAACTAAATTAATTTAAAATTAACTAATTTGCTTTGTTTATGAAAAAGAAACCTATTATCACAGAGTCACTATGGTGTTCTGTTTATTCAGGTCTTAGTTTGTAATTGCAATAGCCTGGGCTCTGACCAGGTCAAAGTAAGGGATTAAAGGCGCTTGGTTTCAGACCAAGTATAAAAATTGGAAGGCTGTTCCAACTTAGGAGCATGATGCACAGTTGAGGATGTATTTCCAAGGTGTCTGCCTTCCCTGGTGTGGGTGTCACTGCTGTGCCATTGTCTGCTGACAATGAACTCTGTGTTGGGTGCTGCTGGCTGTGCTCCCTGCAGCCTGTGGAGGATGGCAGCACAGCCCCGGCTCAGGAGCCCCACAGTGCCCGGCTCTGCCCCTGCTCCCTGGCTGCAGTCAGTCGGGATCACCCGCACTGCTTCAAACTGGGCACACAAAGGCCTCAGGATGCTTCAGTTTAGCACTGCTTTGTATTCCCCTGGGCAGGAAAACTGCCAGGAGCACACAAAGTGTTTGACCTTAGGCCCGGCCAAGTGCTCCCCACTCTTCCTTCTTGGCTTGGCACAGAAGCTTCCAGAGTATTGAATTTTATGTTTGATAACTCTGGAGTATTTTAAAACATGTATCACAATAGTCAGCTCAAGCAGAGTGAAAGGATTTCAGTATAATTTTTGTCATTTTTCAAAAAACATGAAGGTCTGCTTTTTATTAAATGTTCTCCATATAAAAAGCAGATTAGGCTTTTTCCCTGGCACAGAATGACCCCTGAGCACTGCTGCTGTGGCATTTCTCTGCCTAAACTACACTGGACACTGTGAGAAACTGGAAGCCTCTCTGGGGTACCCTCAGGCAGCCTTGTACCACACTCTTGGGATAAATCTGTTTGTCCTGCTAATTGTGATTGGGTTATTGACACAGAGGTCTTCACTAGCCACCAGCAGAACTATAGGTTTAGTTCTGATTGTTGCAGTTTATAGTACAAGTTTTATACTCCTTTGAGCTTACTAAAATTTGGAGACTAAAAAAATAACAATACATGTTTTATTGTAGTTGAAGCAGCTGTCTTGTCTCAATTTCTCTGAAGGCAAGTTCAGATTTGAAGGGCAAAAGGAGGGTAATTCTCCAAATTCAAAGCATGGCATTGGCGCCTCCTGTAGAAGGACTAAAAGTGACATCCCAACAAATATCTATAGCTCACATAAGGAACAAACTCTGCACAATAGTCTAAAAATGCCTGCAGTGAAGTTTGGAGCAGCACAGTAGTGCTGTGGGTAAAGTTCTGGAGTTACTGATGTGAACCTTCAGCTTTTTCCTTTGAAAGAAGGGTGCAAGTCTCAAGTATTTTTTCCTTTTTCCAGGGACAAGACTGGGAGTGAGGTATTTCTTTTACTGGAAAGGGTTATAGGAAAGATTTCTTCTGCCATACACAGATGTGAGAGAACATTTCTTCTTGGCAAAGAAAATGGGGGAGAAAAAAAGAGTACCAGGGCTATATAAAGCATGCTAGAGAAAATCTGTGGTCTAGACATGAATTCTGAAAGGTTAGCCAAGTTGTTTAAAAGAACAACTGACCAGCCAAAACCCACTGAGAAACAAATGAAGAGGCACACCCGCCCAAACTCCCCTTGCCCAAAGAGCCCAAAGCAAAGAGCTCGCTGGAGTGAA